ACTAGGTCTTGCTATGTAGCCCAGGCTGGCCTAGAACTCACAGTGACCATCTTGCCTCAGCCTCCCAAGTGCTGGGAAAACAGCCCTACAGCATCATAACTAGCTTCAGTGTAATTTTGAGGGGACAAAAACATTCAAATCACAGCAGTGACTACAGTTAATACTGTATTGTATATTATACTTGAAATTTGCTAAGAGAATAGATCTTGTGTTCTCACGACAATGGTAAACAATACAGTAACTATGGGAGGTGACAGATATGTTGATTAGCTTGATTGTGGTAATCATTTTATAATATATATGTATATCTGATCATTATCCTGCATGCCTTAAATATGTACAAATTTTATTTGTAAAATATACCTAAGTGAAACTATAAAATATTGTAAGGAATAGCTTTCTCTCCTGTCATTACAGTTGTCCTCAGTGTTCGTGGGGGATTGGTTCCAGGATCCACCACAGATACCAAAATTTGTAATTACTCAAGTTCCTTACATAAAATGCCCAGGTATTTTCAGATAACCCATGTACATCTTCCCTTAAGCAGTCAGCCCTCCCCATCCATGAATTCCACATCCACAAATTAAATCAGATGAAAAATGTCCAGAAAAATATTTCCATCTGTCCTGAACATTCACAGGTGATTTTTTTTTCTTGTCATTATTCCCTAAACAGTACTGTATAAAACTATTTATACAACACTTACAGTATATGAGGTATGATAAGTACTATAGATATGATTAAAGTACAAGGTGATGTGCATAGTTTATGTACCACTCTATATAAAGGACTGCAGCACAAATTTGGGTATTGTCAGGGTTCCCTCACAGTTACCAAGGAATGACTGTTCTTTAAATCTTTTCTGGATGACTTATAAGACCTAATACAATGTAAATGCTATGCAAATGTTATAAAATTATGTTACTTGGGGAATAACGGTAAGAAAAATAGTCTTTATATATCCAGTACAGATGCAATTGTTTTTCAAATATTTTCAATATTTAGTTGGTTGAATCCATAGATGCAGAAATAGCCCACAGATGCGGCCAGCTGAATCCTTACCCATGCCTCTTCTGCACAAGTTTAAGTAAACTAAGAGACAAACACAGTCATCATGTCAGCCAAAGGTATTTTACTTAGGCTCAGAAAGCTACTGAAGCCAGACTCTGGGCAGATTTATCTTCATGTTTGTGGCCTTGGACTCCAAAGCACTAGTTCACTTCTGTGGTAAGTTTGGCCTGTACATGGGCTTCACACAACACAGTTTACCACTCGTGCAGAAAATGAAAAATATTTCTTTCTTTATGCATTTTTCATGGCAGGAGCCCCGCCGATTCCAACATCTTTCAGTGTTGCCTGACGCAAAGAGTAAAAACAAGGACACCTATGTCAGTCATGAGTGAAAATCGGTCCTGGATTGAGAACAACAAAAGGGAGACAAACAGAAGGTTTCACCTCTAAATATTTAGAATGGTGTATAGTCTCATCCCCCCTCTGGACACCCCACATCCCAGCCCTCCTTGAATGTGCCCTCTCAGAAAGGTAGTGGATCAGGATGGTTGAGAACAACGGACACTGGAGTCCACGACCTGGACTTGAAATCTGTCTGCATCTCTGGCCAACTGATAGACCTCGAGCAAGTGACTCTCTTTGTTAGAGCACTAATTCTCTCTTCTAAAAAGAAGATATAGCACCTGCTTTAAAAGTTGTTGAAGGGATCAAGTTAAATAGTGATTTTTAAAAATCAGCATTAAATAGAGTTATGAAATGAACTCAGAAAGACTCAAAAATTTAAAATATTATTTCATAAGTCAAAATTTACATAGAAGAAACACATTAGCAAATAAAGCAGATAATGGCTTAAGAGAAAATACAGAGTAGAAAAGAGAATATTCTAATAAAAAAGAAAAGAAATAGGAAAGATGGAATGTGATAAATACTGATGTTAGGCAAAAAAATAAACAAAACATCCAACATAATAAAATGAACTAAAGAAAAATAAAGAAATAGAATAGAAACTATAAACTATACCACGTAAAAATTTCCTGAAGTACAAAAATATTTGAAAACAAATAATAAATGAGCAGATAGATATAGACCCAAAACAACATATATGCTACTAAAATTACTGGACATTACAGGGAAAAGAAAATGCTTTTGGAAAACAGGCCATACAATGAAAAGCAGGGGGAAAGAAAATAAGACTATACTTAGACTTTTTGACAATAATGTTTATACCAGGAAAAAATTGCTGTCGTATTTAAGATAATCAAGGAAAGAAAAAATAAGTAATGTTATAGCCAGCAAAACTGACTTCTAAGGAAAAGAACAAAAACAGATTGTTATCAACATACTGGGACTTAAGCAAAATTATTCCTACACACATTTCCTAAGAAATCTAGTAGGGAAAGCATTTTAGACCGGTACAGGAGAGGGGAATTGAATATTAAATATGCAGCTACTTGTAGAACTAAAATTAAATGAGAATTTAAAATAAGGGCATAGAGTAGGTAATGGCTATATGTCCCAGCAATATAGGTATAGTACATTATAAAAATGGGACAATAATGGTGACATTTGCAGAAATTTTAACTAGCTTGAGTAATCATGTTATTGTGATAGAGTGGTATTATAATACTGTGTATTATACAGAGACAAATCAAATTAAAAATTATGTGATATTCTATAATCCTGTGACCTTGAAACCAGAATTCTTAGAATAAGGAAAAAATACTGATATGACACAGAAGTTGGTTCTGAATTTCAGTTTTGAATTGGAATTGGAATTACCAGTGTGAATTCACAGGTATTTTTAGATAGATGATCTATAGGTAGACAGACAGAGATCTTCCAGCACTAGTCACTGATAACGTGTAGAAATAATGACCCATCAGTAGGAATTTGTATCCCTAGTGCCTACACTGTAGTTTTAAATATTGTCTGCTACTAAATAGAGACTAAGGCTGTTTGGAGGTATGGCCGATTCTACTTCTTGCCTAGAAAGTATAAAGGCAAACCAGGCATTATACCACAGATACCAAAGAAGCTACCAAAGATCAGTAAGACTATATCAAAAAGACTCATAAGCCAAATTGAAGAGGCTCCCAGTATCCAAGAATAAGACAATTTTACTTCAGTGTGCATAATGATTGCAGTAGAATGAACTGATGTCTTAGAACCATGAGTTCAAAATTAATATTTAGCAAAAAATAATTGCTCAAACTTAAAGGTTGATAGAATATTAGTCCAGTATCTTGCAAACTGAGGAGCAAAGAGAAAGTTGAACATTTATTGTGCCTTTCCTCTCTCGATTCTCTAAACCCCAAGATAACCAAATAGAAGATGAGGACAAACATCTTTTTAGTGAATAGTTCAATCAAGAAATGAATGCTCTTCCCAAAATGTCCTACATAGTTCCCCTAACACCAAGTCTGTTCAAATAGTACTTTATATCGCCACTTATCTTATCATTCTCCCAGGCCCTGAAGTGCCCTGACCAAGACCACTCTCCACCCCCTGCTCTTCCCCTAAAGAGGTGCAGATTACCTGGAATCACCTGAAACAAGAGCAGCAGCACAACCGAAGTTAGCAGAAGAGTCCTCATGACCACAGAACTGACAAAAGCAGTGTCAGATCTGGAAGATGACACAGCAGTGGGCAAGCGCGCTGGACTCTGCTCTCTCTGATCACCCAGGACATGTGTTATCTACACGCGCCTCCAGCTGCCCACGGGTACAGTCTGCCTCCCTCATGTCCAGTCACGTCCCCAGTGTCTCCAAGGTCACCAGCTGGACCACACATCCCTGAGGCGACAGGCCTCCCTTTGTCCATATATATATATCTGCCCTTGTTAAAAATCCAGGTTAAAATCTCCCACACTACAACATTTACTATGCCCTACCAAATCCCACATTACCAGGTCTAGAAACCCATTATCCTGGTTCTAATGTAAATTGAACAACCTCTTTTCTTCAAGTGCATTTTTCCACTTCGGGAGCTGAGGAGAAAGAAGAGAGAGCATTCACTAGACTTTCAGGAGAATGCATCTATTAAAATATTTTATCTAAGAGAACAGGTCCTACTACCTAAAATGCTCATTTTTAGGAAGGAAGGCAAAAGAGGGCAGAGTTTAAAATATTCAGATTCCCAATGATAAATGTAACTATACTGTATACTTTAAAAGTACCAATAAACTCAATGAGAAAAATATACAAATAAAAAATAAAATATTTAGCTCCTTGTTGTAAGCTGTGCCACTCAGTGAAGAAAAAGAAGCATAGCAAATGAAATACTGTAGAACTCCAAGTTTTCACCACCAACATGAACCAAGTCAACTGGGTTTACACCTAAGGAATCTTGAGACTATAATCATCAGTCCCAGATTCTTTCCACACCAAGGTCCAAGGCCTCTTCCTTTGATACCAGCACCCAATATGCCATATGGCCCTCTTTGGGCTTGCTTCTAGTGTAGTCAAAGCACAAAGATTTGCTCAGATTGCTATAAAGGCTTAGTATTCTCTCCAGGACCCTTGAATAGGCCTTGCCATCTGCATGTATTTGATCAGCCAATAGAAAGCTTTTTTCATTACTTCCTGTACTGAATTTCAAAGACATCTACCATCGAGCAGCTCCTCCCCCATAAGAGACGGAGGATAGGTTGGGGATTTAGCTCAGAGGTTCCACTGCCTGCCTTGCAAGCATAAGGACCCAAGTTCAATCCCCAGTACCGGGGTGTGGGGGCGGAGATGGAGGATATCTACCCGTCCTTCAGTCTAGGCTAACCTTTCGACCTGCTTGGGTCAATGGAACATCAGCAAAGGATGCAACTAGAGGCCTGAAAAGTGCTTGGAAACTGGGTTACATCCCAACGCCTCACCCCGGCCGCTGCTCTTGTGCACTCTGTAATTTCTATCATGTGAGCCAACCAGGGTTTGTTACTGCAGATAAAAGACACAGAGCCGAGTCATCAACGTGCACATCAAGCCACCCATCAGGAATGTGAGTGACTGTTCTAGACCCTCCAGCCACAGCCACAGCAGCCACAAACAAACAAAAGACCCCTCCTCAAAACAAACAAACCAACAAAAAACCCCCATCCAAACAAACCTTATACTTATGAGAAATCATGAATTTTAAATGTTTAAAACTGCTACAGTTTGGAATGGTTTGTCACACAACAAACACTAAATAATATGCCGTCCTTCTCAAAATGTTAGCAAGGTTGGCTCCTCCTTGAAGCCAAGAGAAAACCTGTCCTATTCTCTCCTAGCTCCTCATGGTCACTGACAATGTGGGCATCCTCAGCTTATGGCAGCATAACCTCTGCCTCTGTCATCACACGGATCTCTATGTGTGTCTGTCCAAGTTCTCTCTCACAAGGACACCAGCCACTCAACTGAAGCCTGCCCTAGTTTGGTACAATTTCCCCTCAACTTTATTGCACTGCCAAAGATCCTAGTTCCAAATATGTCATATTTATAGATATCTGGTGTTAGAACTCAAACGTATATTTTGAAAAAGACAATTCTACCCACAGCAAATAGTGTTTTTTAGAAACTTACTGTGAGTGCAATTGAACCTCTTTCCATACATTTTAGACACTTTTATCTTTTCACGGATTATCTATTCAAATTTTGCCTATTGTTCTATAAACTTCTTTTATAATACTTTCCCCTCGTTCCCTTTTCAACTTCTATTTCTAGAATTCTTGTTCTTCAGGTATTGGGCTCCATGTACTGGTTCTTTAACTTTCTAGATCTTCCCTCCTAACTTCTACCTGTCTTTTTCTCTAGTTTCTGAGAAATTATTAAAAATTTATCTCCTAGGTGTTCTATTCATCTTTCCACTGGCATGTTTCTAATTTCTGAGTTCTTACTCCCTGAATCATCCTCTACTTGTTTCATAGTTGCAGTACCTTTTGTTTATCTGAGGTTTTCAATTATATTTTCCTCTGTGTGTAATCTATTTCCTATAACTGATCGGTTGGTTATTTTGTTTTATATTAGATGGTTGCCTCCATTCAACAATCTTGTGGCTAATAATTCTTAATTACTTACCCATATTTAAGTGTATCACTGAAAAGCTTAGAGACTTCATGAATACATTAGTCCTGTTTGGTTTTGGTCTCTAACCTTCAAAGATTACTTTGATGATAATGTTTGCTCGTTAATATGTGAGCATGAGGGACTAAAATGTCTAACGAGCACATGGGTGGGACTTGCCAATTCTGACATTGATAATAAGATGATTTGACTGCGGCGTGTAGTGAAGAAATGTCAATGTCAGTACCTTTAGATCTTTTCTATTTCTCTACTAATGTGCTAGGAATTCTGGGAGCGACATTGGGAATTACAGCTGGAAGCTAAAGAGTTTCCCAGCGACCACTATATATGTGTCAGCTAACCTTATTTCCAGCTGACTATATTTATCACCAGTGATGTTTGGGAACCTCCAGTTCAGAGAGCTTCTGTTTCACTCCTGATAGAGAAAATCTTTAAGACTTTTTTCAGGTTTCTGAAATTATAGTAGTATAAACATAGGGTGATGGCTGACAGCATGAAAAGAAGAAGAGACAGAGTGTCTAGGCATTTGATGCTTGATCATTATTTCAACCAAGCCTCCTTATTTTAATACCCCAACATTTCTCTCTCTATGTTCCAAGTGCCAGATTCTGAGCTTCTGTGTATTTTGTGGTTTAAATTAAGTTGCTCCTTGGTTTTCCTCACTGTGAACTTTGATCAGTTTTCTCTAGTCAGCTAATTCATTTCCAACTCCTCCATCTGCTTTCTAGCCAAACCACTGTGTTCTCCCCTAGAAGAAAGAGAAATCATACTGAGCATGCAGGTGGCCACTGCAAGGACTTGGGGTGAAGGTGATGGATTGCAGGGCATGCACATTTCAAGGGTTTTCTATTGGCAAATACTCTCTAAAACTATGCATCAGTTTGTATTTTCATGATCAAATTATTTCTCTTTCCCTGTGTCCTAAATCTCTGGATTATCAATAAAATAGCATTCTTGCCAAACTGACTGGACAAAAAATACCTCACTGTCATGTGAATTTGTTCTCCTCTGATTTCTGACCGGGTTGAGAAGCTGGCCCGCTCACCCTCCAGGAACAGACTGTGACGTCTGAGGTGTGCATAGGTCTTCCTCTGTTTCCTCCAGACTAACCAGTTACAGGCCCTGTATAACTAAGGGACCCAGGAGGACAGCAAAGGTTTTGAAACCAAGCAAAATGAACACAGTGTCTTCAAGAAGCAGGCCCAGAGATAGAGCATAGCTTTGCAAGAGCCACACAGTGTATTTGTAAGTTGGGATCAAGAACAAAGATCTATGACCTAGGTACTTCAGGCCCTCAGTGGCTGATGAGGACAACACAAAGAATCCATGAAAGAAAATCCAATTATTCTGCCCTGTTTGGGGCTAAAACACTGGATTTCTGCATCTAGAGAATCATACAACATGATGAATGCATGAATCCTCACCGCCCATCTGCTCCAAATAATTGACTGAAGAGGATGAGACCCAGAAAAATGTAATTCTTCCAAGGTCACCTAGAAAGAAAGTTAGTGGCAGAGTCCAGACCAGACACTGAATATTTTTAACTCTTCTCCTTCACTCTCTGTTCAAAAATCCTCCACATATCCAGGCACTTTAAGTGATGAGTTTTTATTTTGTGACAAGTTTCGTCTTTGAGAAAAGAAGAATCCAATAGATATATACTCCCTAAGAGAGAATGTGAGCCCTGCGTGCCCTGCCTTTCAACCCCCAGATTGCAAAGTTGCATTTTGGGGTGTTCTGTGGCAAAGCCTGGTGGACATTTAGGCAGTCCTAGCCAGGATGAAATTACATTTCTCAACTTCCTTCCTTGCGTGGAACTGCACTAGGATTTTGCCACCAACTTCTTTTTTTTCCTCATGAGATTTGGGAGATGAAAATTAAGCAGCATCCATCATGCTCTGACCTCTGGTCAGAGGTGATAAAGAGCAAACAGTGTGTGTGTGTGTGTGTGTGTGTGTGTGTGTGTGTGTGTGTGTTTGCATTGCTTTCTCACATATCCCCAGGCCTTTTTTTTTTTTGAGACAGAGTCTCACTAACTTGCTCAGACTGGGCTGGAACTTGGAATCCTCCTGCCTCAGCCTCCCAGAATGCTGAGAATTCAGGTACATGCCACCACACCAAGTTCTCTGGTCTTTTTCAAATCTTTGCTTTCCCACAATTAAAAAAAGACTGCTTTTTACAATAAATTCTCTGTTCCATAATGCTGATAGTCGTTCTGCTTCCAAGATTGAGCCTCAACTAATTCATATTTGAAAAAATGGGACTCTTTAACTTAAATACAGTGACAATGGAAGATTCCTGGAGTTTGGGCAGAGTCTCTTTCCCAGTTCCACAGTCTCTTCACTGTAAAGATTTCGGGAAGAATTACTCAGAGCTCATTCTCCCACTTACCTTTCCATCTTCAGCCCCATTCGGTATGTTTTGCGTCCCTGCAGATGGTTTCTGTGGTTAGGATCTCATCAACCCCGGGTAGGCTTTTCTACCTCTATATCAACAGTGTCAAGTCAGGAAATAGCAGCTACATAAGTTGTTGAAACAAAGGGCATTTAACAGAAAGAACTGGTTCCAAGGTCCTGGCAGGCTGACAGAACAGAGGCTCCTAAGGATGAAATATCAAGAACTCTAGGGCAGCTACCACTCAGGGGATGGGAACTAAGGGAGAGAGAATGGGTTTTCAAAACCTGATTCAGGGGAGGGACCCGGGCGGGTTGGTTCTGGGATCTCTAAGGAAGGGATGTGAAGCGTGGCCGGGGATTTAGCTCAGTGGTTCCGCTGCCTGTCTCCCAAACACAAGGTTCCGAGTTCGATCCCTGGTACCAAAAAGAGAAAAAGAATGGGCCGTGGCCTGGTACCCAGAGAGACGGCCCTGTGGGTGTGGCCCCTGAACCGTTAGCTCCAGCCCGAGCTGGACACCTCTCTGTGCTGGTTCCTCATCCCAGCTAACGCCCTGGCGCAGCTTCCGTGCTCTTAGAAGCACTGCGGTTCGTGGCGCCCCCTGGCGGTCCCTTGGCCGTGGCGCTTTACAGCAGGAGGGGGAGGACCTGTATGACTTGGGCCCGGGACCTTGGCTGACTTTCCCGGCTGACCCAAGAGACAAAGGGAGGCGGGTCGGCTCGGAGGGGTGGAGGGACGCCCGGAGGGGTGGGTGGACTCTCAGAGGGGTGGACTCCCGGAGGGGTGGGTGGACGCCCGGAGGGGTGGGTGGACTCTCGGAGGAGTGGACTCCCACTGCGGCCGGGAGGGGCAGCTTCCGTGCTCAGGGCCATCCCCAGTCCCCCACGGGCTTTGCCATCACTTCTGCTTGAAGCTGCTTCGGGCCTCTCTCTTCAGTCATGAAGTTCCTGCTGCTGACGCTGGCTGTGCTACTGCTTATGTCCCAGCTCATCCCAGGTAAAGCCTGGACCTCTTCAGGGAGGGCAGGGGGTGGACCCTAAGGACTGGTCAGGGAATCCCAAGGACGGGGAGGAAGAAAAGCCAGCCACGTAGAGGAAGTGACTTGCCAGCAACAGGGGCCGGATCATAGGTACCAACGACAACATCTAAAGCTCCTGGCTCAGGCGCCTCCCTACTTCCCGGGAGCTGCGGGGTGGCCTCGAGTGTGAGGAAAAGGGAAGGAGTGCGCAAGAGGCTCTGCAAACAGGAGAGGGAAATAGCAGCCCTTTGGCAAAAGAATAAAACCCGCAGCCACCTTAATGGGAGAACTGACTGTACCAGGACAAAAGCCGTTTACTTATGCCCACTTATCAGTTCTGACTCTGACATCCGGTTTTACATCTGGCCTCGGTAACTTCCTTTCATATTTCTTGTAGTGAAATCCCTGGGTTTGATCTCCAGCACAACAAGAAAAGAAAAGACTAGAGGTTACTCTCTGCAGATTCTGGCCAAGTTACCTTCTTTGAACTTCAGTTTCTGTCTCCTTTGCTGGGTACGACCACTAGGGGCGCCCCTTGATTCCACAGTGACCCAGAACTGCTTCCAATAATAGGACTCCTCTAATTGTTTCTGTTCTTTCGAGGACACAGTCTTTCAAGGGTCACGTGTTGTTCAATGTTTGAAAAGTGTATTTCATATCTTTTCCCCAAATTATCTTATTGTTCAAAGTAGGGGGGTAATATGATCCCTATTGCTCCATCCAGGCTGGAAAAGTCCCATTTCTTTCCATTTCACATCTTTCCTCTTTCTCATCTTTTACTTCCCTTAACAGATTATCTGTTGAGATTATTTGATTTTGAATCCCTTCCAGCTTAGGTGTTTTCCTGAAGAGTTTTTTCCTTGATTGTAATTTATTTTGCCACTTCACTTCTAAAATTGCCACTTCATTTCTAAAATTTTGTTTGTGTATTCATTTGTTTGCTTGTTTTGCACTTAGGGATTGAACCCAGGGCCTTTGCACATGCTAGGCAAGCTAATCCCAAGCCCCTATTTTTTTCTTTTATTTCATTTCATTTTGTTTTGTTTTGTTTATTTTGAGGTTCAAACTGGCCTTTGACTTTCAACTCTCCTGTTTCAGCCTCCCTAGGATTTCAGGTGTGTTCTACCACACCTGGCCATTTCTGAACATTTTAATTAATGCTGGTATATTTTATCTTATATTTAATATCCACAATAGATTTCTGTAATAGATGCTACTAGCCTGCTTTTCAAAAGAGAAAAATGAAGCTCTATGCAAATAAATCACTTGCCGAAGTTTCACGCCAGGCTTTTGGAGTTCTGACCCATCTGTGCCCTTAACCATCACGCACCACCCTTCCTCTGAGAGGAAACACACTAGAGGACAAGGGTTGGGCCTGACTGTCGGAGAAGACCTGAGTCTAAGGCCCTCGATAGAGCCTTTCCTGTTTGTTCTCCCGCTTTTCTCACTGTGTTGATCTCTGTTGGATTTGTGAAAAGGAAAGCACCTCAGTGACTAGATGGACCCTAAGTGCTTTGATCCACTGATGCGCACTAGGTAACTCAGTCACAGCAGGCTGGAGTTTCTATAGAGAAAATAGAGTTCCCTGTCCTTTGGTTTACGATTCTGTCCTACTTGCTGTGAAACATTGTTTCCTTTGCCCGGCTTCTTCTCCTGCTGTCTTTTGGGACAATCTCACCCTGATGATTGTCAAAACAGCTCTCTCCAGGGCAATTTTTGAACCTGTCCTGATTAGTCTAGATTCCTGGGCAAGACGGTGGCAAAAAACAGGTAAAGGAAAAATAATAATAGACAAAGAGTAAAAGGCGAGAGAAGCAGGGGCCCCCTTATAACATCTATTTTAATCCCTTTAAATCCCTCTCTTTAGGATTAACGTCATCTCTCTTTTTCTTCAAATCAGGTGACACTCAAAGATGCTGGAATCTTCTTGGCAAGTGTCGCCACAGATGCTCCAAGAAGGACAGTGTCTATGTTTACTGCACTAATGGTAAAATGTGCTGTGTCAAGCCCAAGTACCAGCCAAAACCAAAGCCATCGTGGTTATTTTAAGGGCTTTAAAGTCTGAAGCCAGAAAAAAGGCAGAAGCTGCCGGAAGTCTGAGCCAAGTGGATTATTGAGCTCTGTCAATAAACACCTCTGGCTGATCACTGTGTGCCTGTTGTCTACCCCAGTGGTTCTCAGGAGGTCCCCTTTCAGGCAGTTGAGAAAGTCAAAACTATTTCCATAATAATAATAATAATAATGACATCACTTGCTGTTTGTTTTTTTTTTTTGTACTGGGAATTGAATTCAAGACCTTGCACTTGGCAGGCAGATGTAGCACTGCTAAGCTAAATCTCCAGCCCTAACAAATTTATCTTTGGATTTATGGGCTTGGGGGTTTCCCCCACTTATAGGATAAGTAATGATTAATTGTGAATTAATAGGTAACTGCTTGGTAGTTCTGGGAAACTAGAGAGAAACTGTAACAAACACAGAGACCCAAAGTAAATCACTCCACTCCTTGTTTGCCCGTAACTGAATGTTCCAAACACCACAATCTATAAAACAATGGGAAATCGATCTGCTGACCATTTCTACTTAACGGTTGAATACATGATTGATGACCACCAGCTTGGATCAACTGAGCACTTGCCTTTGTCCCCTTTCTTGGGGGTTGAATTGGTGTTTGGTTTTGGTTTGGGTACCAGGGATCAAACTCAGGACCTCATGCTTGCCAGGCAGGTGCTGTGCCACTGAGCTGCTGCACCCCCAGCATTGCTTACCTTTTCAATCTCGTTCACGGAGCTACAGTGGAATTTTCTGGAATCAACAAGACATGTTGACATTGAATTGGTGTTTGGTTTTGGTTTGGGTACCAGGGATCAAACTCAGGACCTCACGCTTGCCAGGCAGGCGCTGTGCCACTGAGCTGCTGCACCCCCAGCATTGCCTACCTTTTCAATCTCGTTCACGGAGCTACAGTGGAATTTTCTGGAATCAACAAGACATGTTGACATAATTGTTCTGGTAGCTAACAAAACCGGATTTATATACTCTTGTGTTTGTAGAATTCGTTGAGATAGGAGGCTTAAGATACAAGTGTAATTCCTTTTCAGAGATTAACTCTATTTGCAGGAATTCTGCTGTCCTTACACAAGTACCTTTGGTTACATGAGTAATTCTGTAAACTTGTTATTATCTGGGGAATCATTACTTTGAAATCCCAAGACTTTCCTTGCACAAGAAATAAGTACACTTTATTGTCTTGGTCTGCAAAAGTATATTAAAAACAAAATTCAACAATCTAACAAGAGAGGGGTATGCTCTCCCAGAAGGAAAAAATAATAGTTATTCTAGTCTCTGCAGTTCTGCACCCCTCAGGTAAGGGCCACTGTGCTTGATGCCCGGAAACCAGTAAGAGTCAATACCACCCTCGCTTGTAGGCATCAGGAAGCAGTGTCAAGTGACCACCACACAATATGAGATCAGTTGCCCCTTCTATAACAAGGTGCATACAACCAAGGAAGAGGAAGACCCAGAGAAGACCTGGAGAGGGTAGGGCTCGGTGCAGCTGTGGCCAGTGCCAGGCCAATGGGTGGGGTAAGGCTCACTGAGGGAAAGGATACATCAAGGCATTCTGCAGTGGAAAAGACCATGTTTTCTTTCTTAGAGTTTGGGACAATGTGGCATGGGCCCTTCAGAGATAATCTTCTCCTACCCCTACTTCAAACCAGTACTTCTTGTTCAAATTTTATGAGACCCAGCTTCACCATCTTAGTGAGGAGGGTAGGGGGCAAAGTTTTCCATGGGGGGGTGAGGTGGGCGTGGTGGCACACACTTGTAAGCCCAGCACTTTGGGAGGCTGAGGCAAGAGGGTTGCAAACTCAAGCACAGCCTAAGCAATTTAAAGTGATCCTGTCTCAAAATGAATAATAATAAAGGGCTGAGGACGTAGCTCAGTGCCAAGGCCCTGGGTTCAGCCTCCGAGATGGGGGAGGGGAAAAGGAGGAGGGAAGGAGGAAGGAAGGGAGAGAGTAGAAAAAGGGGACACAGAAACTCCTGGACTAACCACACTTTCCCCCAGGCTTTCCGCTCGCAGACCCTCCCCTTTATGGCCACCCGGATAGGCACCTTCAGGATGGACCTGGACATCTTTGACCAGCCAGGTACCAAACCACCCCCTTACTGAGACTCGTCTGCCGACCCGGAAGTGAACTCCGTTTGGGCCCTGAGGCAGCCATCTCTAGAGAAGGCTGACCTTCCACGCACTGGCGGTACCCCCTCCTGAACCAGACAGGAGCCGGACCACTGTCCAACTTGTGTCACAGCTGTACGACCGCCCAGTGCATCTGGCTGGTGTTTCCTGACCCCCCCATCTTTCCC